TAAGGAAGAATGAAGAAGTGATGCCTTTGAATTTGGGTGTTGGCGAAGTGCCATGGACCGTCAGAAGAACAGACACATCTGTGTTGGAAGAAGTATACCCAGAATGCTCTTTAGAATCGAGGATGGTAAGACTTGGTCTGTCTTACTACGGGCGTATTGTCAGGAGGAATCAGTTCTTGGAGAAGGAGATCATTCTTGGTATAAAGTAGAGGGTCCGTAAGGAAGAGGAAGACCCTCAATCAGATGGACTGACTCAGTGGCAGCAACAATGAACTCAAACACAGTAACAGTTGTGCGCATGACGCAGGACCAGGAAGTGCTGCGCTCTGTTGTGCACAGGGTCACTGTGAGTCAGAACCGACTCAGTGGCATCTACCAACAACAGCCGAAACAACACACAGATGGCGTATTTTTTCCTATGCTGCACTGTTACCAGTTGGAGTCATGTTTTAAATGTCTCCTGAAATAGCATTTGTTTAATTTAAAAACACCATAAATGAAATGCAGTCTCAGTGTCTCACTCTTTTAACTGCCTTTGCAATAAATACATGGGGAGCCCTGGAGGCACAATGTTTAAAATGCTTGGCCGCTAACCAAAAGGTCAGTGGTTCGAACCCACCAGCCACACTGTGGAAGAAAGACGTGGGAGTCTGCTTTTGTAAAGAATTACAGCCTTGGAAAGACTCTGTGTCAGTTCTACTCTATCCTACAGCGTCACTATGAGTTGAACTTGTCTTGACACCAGTGGATCATTATAAGTACTGATACACTGCAATGTGGAGCTGTGGGATAATGCCCAGGACTGCAAGATCGATTTGAACCTTGTCACAAGGTCAGTGGTTCAAGCTCACCAGCCACTCTGTAAGTCAGAATTAAAAACAACTTTATATTTTATACTTTTATTTTTGCGACAGTTTTATTTTCTCTTGCTCCTTTTTTTTTTTGCTTCTTGTCAATTAACTAATATGCATATATATTCTTCTTCTCTTTTCTGATTTGGAAGTTATCCATGATGTTTTAACTGTTTTACTGGTACCATTAATTTTAATCATAAATTAACTCAAAGTTTAAAGTTAACCGATCTCTCTCTATCCCCTCAAAATATGCCAGATTTTTAGAAAGCTTGGTTATCCCTGATCACGTCCCCTTCCCAAGTTCCCTGTTTGCCACTTCATTCTGTGTGACACTGGGGAAATTACTGAACTTCTCTGAGACTCAGTGAAATAACTGCCTTATGGTATTCTTTTGGTCTTTTCTTGGAAATGTTTTCGTTTTGTTCTTACCTTCAGTGATATTTGAGCTGGAAATTTCAAAGTTGACAGTCGTTTTCTCTCCAGACTCTTGAAGATTTTACTTTTATTGTCTTTTGGTCTTGATTGTTGTCAGTGAGAAGTTGGCTGTTACAGTAATTGGCATTCATTTGTAAGTGATTTAAATTTTCTCTAGAGTTTCTTTTGGAATTTTTTTTACTATTTATTGCCTTTGGTAGTTTCCATGACATGCATAAGTGTGGATTTATTTTTATGTGTCCCATTTGGACTACTAACAGCAAGGTTGGCAATTCAAATATAACTGCTCCATTGGAGAATGATGAGGCCTTCTGCTTTGTAAAGATTTACAGCTTAGGGGACACTGTGGTTCCGTTCTGCTCTGATCAATGTTGTTGTTGTTGTTACATGCCATACAGTCGGTTCTGACTCACAGCAGCCCTGTATAGGATTTTCAAGGAGTGGCTGGTGAGCTTGGAACCGCTGACCCTGTGGCTCAAACCGACTTTGCAGTTCAGCTCATTAACCCGCAGCATCACACTAGCACTCTGACCTATAGTCTCAGAATTGACTTGCCAGCCCCCAATAATAACAGCATATTTCTGTCAGGACATCAAGTGGAATGTGGAAGACTCAGATAAACAGTAAGTCGGAGCTCTGCAGCCTTTCTCCCTTAGATTTATTTATTCACTGCACATTGGGTTATCTACACAATCACATTTTGAAGAAGTGTTTTGAATCACTTGATTTATCTTTTTGTCATCGCTGTTCATACTAGTTTTCACTCAAAACCAAGAACACGCTCTCAAACTGACCTTCTAAACTTTGCAATGCTTGTACCACAAAGGAGCACATGAAAGGAACAATGAACACATTCTCCGAGTGTGAGCCTAAGGGACCGTCCCCTCTGGTGAGGGCATCTATGGGAAATGGGCACCGCTTCTGAGCTGGGTGCTTGCAGCTGCTGGGTAGCCTGCTGAGGGGAAGTCTCATGACTGGGGAGAGAGTTTCACATGCACCTCACCCAGTGGGACACCATCCCACCCTCTCAGCCCAGCTGGGGTTACTTTTCTGTTCTTTAAACACCTACCTGTGGTGTTACATTGAAGAGTGAGCGCATTAATGCACTTGTGTGCTTCGGAGTTGAAGAGGAGGTAGCTGTTTAGGTGGGCTTCAGGAGATGACTAGGAGTTTCCCAGGAGTCCTGGTGTGGTGCTGTAGGATCAGCACTCGACTGCTAACCACACGGTTGGCAGTTCAAATCCACTAGGCACTCCTCGGAAACCCTATGCCGTGTTGCTATGAGTCAGAACTGACTCTCTGGCACTTAACAACAACAAAAACATGAGTTTGTCAAATAATATTCTAGGCAGAGTGGGCAGTTTATGAAAAGGTACAGAGGCATGGGCTGAGACGTTCTACCTGGGGAAATGCAGGTGGAGTGTGAGGATGCAGGGGAAGTTCAGACTGGGGCAGTAGATGGGCAGGTCACGGCTAGTCTTGTAAAGTACCCAGATGGCCCTAGGAAGATGCACATATGCCCGTTACTTCCATGATCTTTAAAGTCATTGCGCACGTTCCAATTCCAGTGCTGCCACTTAGATGCTGTGTGACCCTGGGGAAATGACTGACTCTCTCTGAGACTCATTGAAGAACTGCTTCAGAAGATTGTTGTGAGAAGATTATAAAGCACTTAGCATGGGGTCTCGAACATACCAGAAAAGTCAGAAAGTATTTGATGTTATCATTCCTGCTATTGCTATAAATATTCTTGTCATCACTGTTGCAACAGCTGCTGCTGTGGAACATTAAGGAATTTCAGCTGGGCAGTGGCCTGGTCAGATTGACCTTTGAGAGCTGTGGGAAGATCTAAGGTGTGGGGAGTGTCAAACTGGAAACCATGAATAGAACCAGTGAAGAGGAGTCTACTCAAGTAATCCAGGCGAGAGGTGGGCAGTGGTAGAATTCGCTCCCTTCCTGAGGGAGGCCTGGGCCTGACTCCTGGCCAATACACTTCCAGCTCAGCCACCGTCCACCTCTCAATGGAGCCTGGCAAGTTGCTATGATGTCAAACAGATTTCAGTGTAGCTTTCAGACCAAGATGAGCTAGGAAGAAACACTTGGCAATCAACTTCTGGAAAAGCAGCCAGTGACAATCCTTTGTATCATAACAGTGGGTCCCCCAGCTGACCCCAGGGATGGCCCAGGGCCCAGCAGTGTTTAGTTCTAGTTGTGCATGGGGTCACTCCACAGCAGCTCATAAGGAGACAGGTGAGGAGGTAGAGAGCAGAGATGTAGGACTTGCATACAGGTTGGAGCGATGTCTCAGCTCTTCCGATTCCCTGCCTTTAATGACTTGCTGGGGAGATTAGAGCCATCTCAGGCAAGTACCACCATCCTTGCTTTCCAGACAGGTGCAGCAAGAGGAAGCACCTGCCTGAGTGTCTAGATAAAGCAGTGACCTAGGGCACAAAGAGGTATCAGCACTCAGACCCTCAGCTTTCTGCTGCTGTGAGGGTGGGGGTAGGAGAGGCATGGCTGCAAGAGGCTTCTCATGAGAGTGCAATTTCTCATCGTGGCCAGGGCTGCCACAAGTCTCAGTGCTGACCCCCAAGTACGTCCTTCTCCAGGCTCAACGATCTATCCTAATTCATTTTTCCAACCTTCCCCACAAGAACACCTGTAAATTCCTGGTGCCATAGGGGCTTAGGGACTTTGTGATTTCCAGTTGAACAAAATGAACTTGACAGAGTAGAGGAGGACAAAGGGAAGGGTACAGTAGGATAAAAGGAACACTGTGTTCCAACACCAGAAACTCAAGAGTCCAAAGTAGCTTGTGTTCATGGATTTGGTACGGCGTGTCCTACATGGTCTTCCACTCACGCCCCTTCATACATCTTCAAGAGGAAGCCAATTCAATAGAACGTACCCTAGCAACATTCCGATTGTTACTTCAATCATATCTTACTCTGCAAAGACGTTGGAGGAAAGTATATTTCAATGCCTTGTTCAAAAGGCCTGTCATTAAAAAAAAAAAAATCATAAATGGGTTTTCAGAGACTGATGTCATAGTGTTATTTTTAATACATTCTTTTTAAGAACTCAATTTATATTTTAGTTCAGATCCATGCATGCTGGAAGGGAAAAAAAAAAGTTTAAAGAGAGTTAAAATAGAGGGGGATCATTTAAGGAATATGAAAATGCATATACCTGACTTTAAAAATCAGAATTATAGGGCAGGTTATCAGGTAGCAGAAAGTAAAGGACAGGTTCTTTGAAATACCTTAGTGGGCTTCAGGAGTGGTGTGCCAATGGCTGCTGATAGCTTTACAGAAAAGCTGGGAGAAAGAAAACAAGGACCAAAAAAAGTGGTGATATTTACAAAAATCTGTGCAATGATTACAAGAACCTGATATATTTGTGTGTGTTTCCCAGCAGCACCACAGTTACATCAGTAAAATGCTTTTGCATTCAGTTCCTGGCAATATCAAGCAGTGTTTACCATCTTAATTGGCTGGTGTGTGCATGTGTCTTTGTCAGAACACAGAATTGGAAGGAGTCTTGGAGGCTACCTGCTCCCGTCTAATAGGGACCCTGTGGAGTGACCGGTGCACTGCCCCACCCAGAGTGTCAGGGACAGGACCAACATGCACCTGTCTCCTGAACTCCCATGAAACATCCCGCCTACATTCTCCCCTGCTACACTAACATTGTCTCCTTTTTTTTTTCCAGGAGAAATCCGTTGCTGGTGTCTGACGATGCAGTTGGCGAGCTGGATGCCCTGCATCTTGGTAGGTGGTGTTGCTGTCTCTGGGCCCCAGAGGGCCTATGTTTGCATTTTCTGGAAGTCGGTGGGTGGATGGGTGGGAGACTCCCCATCAGCTGGGGGAGTGTTTCTGTCCTTCACCTGGTCTCAGGAAGGATGGCTGAGAGAGTAAAGTAAGCTTTTCTCTTTTTGTCAAAGACACTGCTTCCACTGCTGGTTTTCTCAGAGAAATCCTTACAAGAAATATTGCCATTTCTGGATCCACACTAGTGTCCAGATGAGCCTTTTCTGGATTTGGAGATCCTTTTAGGGTCATTCACAAACTACTGGAGTCTCCAGAAAATAGGTCTAAGTCAGAATATTAGGATAGTGTTGTCTGTAAGTCACCCTTTTACATCTACTCTTAATTTTAATGAATATATTGCTGAAGAATGAAATCTAAACCCGTCTGTCAGTTTACTATATTGCGCTGACTTGCATATTGCTGTGATGCAGGAAACTAGTTAAGTGGTATTTCAAATACCAGCAGGGTCACCCAGTGGAGCTTCCAGACTGAGACAGAATAGGAAGAAAGACCTGGCAATCTACTTCCCAAAATTAGGCAGTAAGCGAATGAAAACTCTGTGGATCAGAGGTGAACGTTGTCTGATTGGACTCAAACATGCCAATGATTTTGGTGATGGTGCAGGACAGGAAACGTTGTGTTCTGCTGTATGGAAGGGAGACAGAGACAACTCGACTGAGACAAACAACAACAAAGTAGAAATATGTGCTGAAAGTACACTAATCTTCAGTGTTCTGCTGGATACATCTGTATCTGTATTTCCATTAGCCTAACCACTTTCTTTCTATCAAGAGCTGCAGCATCTTCACCCATGCTTCATTTAGAAATGATCTTGGTTTTTTGTGTCTGTAACTCTTTATTCCTCAATGACTGATGTGTTTGCAAGTCCTGGCAGAGGTAGCAGGACTGGAGACGGGCCGCCCAGTGACTGAACATGAAAGGATGAGGCCAACAGCCCTTGACCGTGGCTGCTGGGTAAAAGCAGCACATTACCTTTGGACCATTTCAGCATCAAATAGCTGTTCAAATGCCTTTCCTCTCTCTTTTAAGCACTTCCTTTTAAGCTGACAGGAAAAAAGAACAAAAAAACCCCAGTGTTTCCTCCTGACATTATTTGTATGAGACAGGCTGTCTGACATTTTTCTTTGATGGAATTGAAAGGCTTGGGGAGACCTCAGAATGACAGAGGCAGCTCACTTCAGCTTCCTCAGAGTCTTCCTGATCAGAAACGGATGGTGGGGACCACTCGTCAGATTTCTGCACATGGGGACGCAGCCTGCCTGGTGCGATGATGAAGTGTGGGGCCAGGAAGCTCCAGCATCCAACAGCTTTCTGTAAAGCGCTGCACATAAAGATTTTCCAAGAGAAGCAGTTTCTGGCCTTCAGACCCCGAAAGCATCTGTCTGATGAAGGCTTCTTAGCAATTCTCTCAGAAGCCAACTCTTTGAAACGTGGGTCTGTGTGTGAGTGTGTGAATGGTTCTGTGAGCCTGTGAGTGTGCTTGTGAATGTGTGAGGGTGTGTGTTGGATGTGTGTGAGGGTGTGCACACATATGCACGATTGTGTGTGAACATCTATGTTTCCCAGAGGGAGACACACCCCTTCTTTGCAAGTAGCTTAGGTAACAATTAGAAAAGGAGATACAAAATGAGTGATCGCAGGATCGTTTCCAAGAGAATTTATGGAAGAGAGAAAGAGAAGTCTTAGGGGTAGAAACAGGAATACAATTTGCTGAGAGGAGTAGCACTGTGTCTCCTCACCACAATCCACTTTTCTCTTGATTCCATTTAGTTAACTCTTATTAAAAAATTATGTGCCAGGCATAGGCAGGGGCTCTGTTGCAGGCAGGTCGTGTTGAATCCATAGAATGATCATCATCCCCCTAAGTGACCTTGTTGTCATTGTTGTTAAGTGCCGTTGATTCAGTTCTGACCCATAGGGACCCTGTGTAGGGTATTGGAGGAACAGCTGGTGGATTTGAACTGCTGACCTTGTGGTTCACAGTCGAGTGCAGATCCTATAGCGCCACACAAATGTTAAAATGAAACGGAATTGTCATGTGTGTTTTACTTCTTCCAAAGGCTAAATGAAATGGTATGAGAAACAAAAACCCCTGCTTCTTTTCAACCAGACATTTATACCAGAGCCATAAAAATAGCATTCTCAAACCACCGGCATTTGCAGCTGGTTTTGTCTGCTTGGTTTGTCCAACATGTCATTCTGGAAGGTTTTGTTTTTTCCCCTGCACGGCGGTACCACCACATCGGGGCCTAGTGGCTGCCTGTGGTCCTGAACCAATTCCCTACACTTGACCAACCTCCTCCAGACAGAAGTCAGGAGAAGTCACCTCCTCCAGGGGGCTCACTCTGGCACAGCCCCGAGGTCCTCTTCCTCCCCGCCAGTCTTAGAATGGCCCCCTCCCTGACAACTTCAGACTAAACAGAAATCTCCAAATAGGCTGAAACATCGCTCCTTCCTTGTTTCCAGGAGACAGTCTGGCCCACGGGCTTGGTGGAATCGCTTCTGGACCTCAGGTGCAGAAGACTGAATGAACCTCTTGTTTCTTGAAGGAGCCTTGGTGGCATGGTGCATTAGGCGGTGGGCTACTAATCGCTATGTCATCAATTCAAACCCACCGGTCCCTTCTCAGGAGAAACATGAGGCTGTCTGCTTCCTTAAAGATTTACTTAAAGATTTACTGTCTTGGAAACTCTATGGGGCAGTTCCTTTCTGCCCTATAACGTTGCTCTGAGTCATAATCAATCAAGGGCAGCGGGTTTAGGTTTTGCTTTGGCTGGGTTCCTCCAAGTCTCCACAATGATGTTTGCAAAGCCCGTCCATCAGCCACGCTCTCCCACTTCCTTTCATCCTTGTTTTTGCCACGCCCTCCCTCCCTTTCTTCCTGTTTCTTCTTGCCCCACAAGCTTTCCTTCCTTCTTTGTTTCATTCATCCCCTTTCCCTTTTCCCCTCCCTATTTTTTCCCCCTACCTTCTCTCATTGTCTCTCCCTTCTTCCCTCCCCTCCTTCCCTCTTCTCCTGCAAACTGAGCAGCAGTGCTCTCTGGTCATCTAGTCTTCATTTATGCAAACGGTGCCATGTTTTCTGTCTCGTGGTTTCTCCCTCTCCCTCGCATCCCTGTGATTTTTCAGGTCCATGCATGCTGCTGAGTGAACATCTCATGTTTATTTTAGACTACTTCTGTAAGCCGTGGTCACAGGGTGGCTTTTCCTAAGACCTTAACTTTGAAGTTCTCATTTAAATTCAAGTTCTCATTGCAATTCCACATTTATATTTCGTTTCAGTCCCAAGGTAGACTCTGCCTCCTTTTTCCACGCACTGTGGCTCCAGGAAAGCCCTGGTGTGTAGGATAAGCACTGGACTTTTAACTTCCAGGTCGCTGGTTCAAACCCCAGCTGCTCCTAAGAAACTCTGAATAGGGTCCTTATAGGTCAGAAGTGACTCAACGACACTCAACAACAACAACAACAACAACATGACTCCAGGAATTTGCCTTCTTCTCTGCCTTGCTTTTCCCCAGGGGAAGGAAGAAGGCTAGAGAATAAGTTATAAGATGTGTATCCCACTTGTTGATTTTTTCACACCAATGTCTCAGCCCCCACCCAAACAGACCGACTCTACAAAGCTTCCCTTAGGAAGCTGGCTTCACGGACTGAAGGCTTTGCCAGCACAGTGGTCAGCATGTTTTACTTGCATCCTCTAAGTCCTCAGCCGAGTGGTCTAGGAAACACAGCCGAGTGGTCTAGGGAGCAGGTGTAATGTCAGGAGGGAACCTCATCCTGCTGGGAAGACAGGGTCTGGAGCTGCCAAAGTCTGGGCCTTCTCTGGGCTTCGTCACTCAGTTGTAGGATGTCTGTATCTGAATTGGCTTAGTGTTCCTCGTGCCAGGAGCTCTAGGGAGGCGGGAGGGTAGGCTATTAGGGCGGGTCTGGATTTATATCCTCTTGGATTTATATCCAAGTGCTTCTGTAACATGAATACCACAGATGTGTGACTTTAAAGAACAGAAATTTATTGCCTCCTAGCTCTGGAGGCTAACCGTCCAAATCAGGGCCACAACCATGTGGGATGGCCATACTTCATCTTTCATACTGTGGACATATTGTCAGGAGGGACCAGTTGCTGGAGAGGGATGTCGTGTTTGGTAAGGTGGAGGGTCAGAGAAAGAGAGGAAGACCCCCAATGAGATGGATTGGCCAAATGGCAACATTGATGGACTCCAGCCTGGCAACAGTAGTGAGGTTAGCCAGGATTGGGCAGTGTTTCATTCTGCTGTACATAAGGTTGCTATGAGTCGATACCAACTCGATGGCACCTAACAACAACAACAACCATGTGGGATCCTTCTGTGGGCCTCAATCTTTATTTCTGGTTTCTGCCAGCAATCCCTGGGTGCTTCCTTGTTTGTAGCTAGATCTTTATCTTGTTGTGTCTGTCTTCCTGTTGTATGTGTATCAGTATCTATTGTACTATTTTTGTAAATCAGAAATGATTAGGTTTAGGATTCACCCTGTTTTGGTATGAGCTCATTTGGCCTTGTTGTTGAGTTCTGTTAAGTTGGTTCCAATTCATAACGGCAGTGGATAGGGTTTCTGAGGAACGGCTGGTAGATTTGAACCACCAACCTGATGATTCAAATGGACCTCAGGGTCCAGTGCTTATCTGACAACACCACACCAGCACGCCATGAGTTAATTAGTATAACAAAAAACTTGCCAAATAGAGTCATATTTACAGGTATAGGGATTGGGGATTAGGACTTCACCACATACTCAAGTTCAAGCCATAATATCTGCATCACCACCACTCTTCATCTGCGTGACTTTGGGCCAGTTACTGCTCTCAGCCTCAGTTTCCCCATTTGCAATAAACAAAACAAGAACAAATGAACTTGTTCAGTCAAAACTACTCAGACCCCTGGCGACTACGTAGGGTGTTCTAGTCTGCAATCTCTACTGAAGCACATCACCCACCAGACCTCTCTTCCCTGAAGTACAACTGGGTGGGTTAGAACAGCCAAGTTTTAGGTTGTAGTTAATCATACACTGCTTGCTGCAGCCAGACCTTTCATCTACAGTAGGGAGGTAATGATAACTAATAGTTCTTAGGGATGTGAAAGGGTCTAGGTGATAAAATTCAAGTGGCTAATACATGCACCATGCTGTAGGGTAAGCACTGGACTGGTAACTGGAAGTTTGGGAGTCCAAGGAAACCCTATATAGAGTCACTATGAGTCGGAACTGAGTCGATGGCACATAGCAACTACAACAACATTATCATGAACAGGAATGGTGGCATTTTCCCTAATTCTGTCTACTTCACATTTGTCTTCACAGAAACAGATTTGTGGGTTATGCCTGCCTCTGTAAGAAACATGTCTTTTCTGGGTCTGATTCAGTGTGTTAAGCTGTGGTCATTTGCTTCACTGCATGGGAACTTTCTGAGGACCCATAGCAAAGTCCCACCTGCAGCCAGCCTCTTGTGTCATGGGCCAGGGTGGGGTTTTGACAGAGAACAAGGCCCCTGTCTCTGTGTTCTTTCCTGCTGATGGATGTCTGGGAGGTCCCGAGTGGGAGGTGGGATGGGTGGTGTAGGAGCCTCTCATTTAAACTTCTCTACATGTCTCTGTGTTCACGGTGTTCCATGACTTTGGTCCTCTGGTCTTCTTTCAGAGGATGTGGAGGATGAATTGATTAGGGATGAAGTTATCCTGCCCCCAGCACCATCAGTGTTCAAGCTGCAAACAGCATCGAAGCCAATCGACCTTTCAGTGGCAAAGGTAGGCACCGCCAACTTTCAGAACCTCCTCGATATTCTGTGTTAAATACGTCTTGACCTGAATTAGAGTGGATGATGCGATTTGGATCTTTCTGGTCTTGAGCCATCTCATTGTAATCTCTCTGTCATTGTTAAATGGAAATTTGGATGTGAAGTAACAGAAAACCTGAATTGGGAGTCAGGAAATCTGTGTGAGGAACAAAGTGGTCCCTTTCCCTAGCTGGGAAAAGGTGGGAGGGGTTATCCCTTCCCAGTCAAACTTGGAGCTCTCCCTTTGGCCCATGGCTTCTTCCCCGTGTGCCTCCCAGGCAACTCCAGAGTTGGGATGGGAACACAGTGCTCTGGTAGGCTACACAGGAGTTACCTCCAGAGAAGGACACTGGGGTGTTAATGACTCTTCAGTTCCATCTAGGTTCTTGCCCACGGTCACACAGGTTCCTGGCCTTGGCAGCCTCCTCTGCAGGGATGTCCTGGATTCCTCACTATCCTCAGCTGCCAGGATGGCCTCGCACTTCCCTTTGGCCAAGAGTCCCTGCAGCGTGGAATGTGGCTCCTGCTGTCCCCCACTGACTTCTCAGTCAGGATCCAGAAGGGAAAACAAAGTTCCTGGGGATGCAGCTGACCCCTTTCTCTTTCCAGTCACCAAATATTTACTTAGTACAGAGATCAAAGAGTAGGTTCCCTCTCCTGCAATGGTCTCCCCTCTCTCTTCCTTTTCTTTCCTGATTGCACTGGAATTCCAGAGGTTCAGAAACATTTCAATGGTCCAAACCTGGGAATAAGAGTGCTTGGCTGTCTGTAACCATAAGGCAAAAAGGCCCTTCAAAACCCAAACCACTGCAAGCTAAGCCCTACAACGTTCAATAGATTCCTGTGAACCCAGGTGGAGACCTGGTTGGCCAGCAGTGTGGCAAGACCTGGGGCTTCTTGCACCCAGAGTCAGTGACATAGCCACAGAGGACTAGAGTGGAGAGTGAAGCATCCAGCTGATAAGAAGAGAGGGCATATGCATAAGAACACCCACACTTGC